ATTCAAAAAATATAGAGTTGATTTATCAATTTATATCCAATTAGTCTTTTTATTAAGTACTAATTATTTTTCATTTTTCAATGAATAAAAGACGTATAATAATTAGAGGTAATATCGTATAATTACTATTTTATTTATTGTTTTTAAGCAATTTGCTTTGTTAAATATGAACGAATAAAGATAGACGACGATGATAATACAAATACTAAATAAATAAAAATAGTCCTATCTCTTTTTTGTATTATTTCTTACTTGGTGTTCAATATCTACATTGGCTGTTGACTAAATCTGAATTCGCACTGAAAAGTCTTATCTAAAAAATAAAACATTGCTTAACAAAAATGACATCGTACCAAAAAGACTTGAACCAAATCCTTTTTTTAATTAAAAATCACGAAAATACTTTCTAATAAAATGACTTTGTACCAAAATGACTCGAACTGAATCCTTTTAATTAAGGGTGATGGAACAGTTTTTATTTCCATTTATGATTGTTATTCCTTCTGTTACCCTTGAGCAAACTGCACACGGACTCAACTTGTTTGCCCATATTTATTGCACCCAAAAATCCCTTCTTCAGCTTCACTTCATTAAATTGGGTAACTGAATCACCTGTTTTATTCTTCATCTGCCACCAAAAATGGCTCTGTTTCAGTGCCGAATTCCATTTTCAGCAGTATCTCCATCTCTTTCACCAAGAACTGAATTTACAAAATTGTTTCTTGGAAATAGTAGTAACCCATTTGCTAAAACTACCCAAAAGAAGTTTTCATCTCTTTGTTATGCTTTGAATGATTCCAATAAGCATTCATCCATATCCACATTTAGTGAGGTAATAAAAGGTTTGACTTTTTTTGATTGTTGAATACAATTGTGAATTGGGTTTTTGTTATTTTGATTAAAGATTTGTTCTTTTTGTTGTGGGTGTGTTTTATTTTGATTTGGTTTCAGTTGATTGAGGCTTTAATTAGTGGGAAAGATTTGACTGAATCTGAATCAGAAGATTCTCTTGATTTTTTGTTGGATGGTGCTGATGAAGCTTTGATTAGTGCTTTTCTTGTTCTTCTGAGAGCTAAAGGAGAAACCTTTGAAGAAGTAAGTTCCTTCCTTCAACTATTCACCCTGTTTCGATGGACTTATTTTAGGTGTTTTTAAGTACTTCAATGGCATTTGGGTAAGATAAAAAAGTGTATTTAAGCACTTGTTTTTAAACCAATATAAGCCAAAAGTTATAAGCGCATCCAATGAGACTCGGAGTAAAGGTTTGTGTATACTCTTGAAGCATAATGTAGGTGAATGAATATTTTACCTGGTTCATTAGTATTTGTAGTCTCCCATGGTAGTGAGAGAAAAGTGGCTCTTCTGTGCATTTCCTTTCTGAGGAAAAAAAATCAGAAAAGTCTATGTTTTTTTAAGCTCGAGCTCGTAGTTCAAAATATAATGTAAAGGTTCCATTTTGATGTACAATCCTTCCCGTCAGGGAGCATAATCCTTTGCTAGGGATCTGATTTCACCAGAGCCAGAACGTGTTAATTCTCACCTTCATTAATGAGAGCTGGAAATCAACCATGAATTTGTCACTACTGTCTGATCCGTTAAACCTCATCGAGCTAATAATGATTGCTAGGTAGTGGGATTGGCAAGGGCAATGATAAAGCATTGCAGACGAGTTGAAGGTTTAGGTGACGCAGTTGATATTGTTGGGACAGGAGGAGATGGAGCAAACACGGTGAATATCTCAACAGGTGCTTCAATTCTTGCTGCAGCTTGTGGTGCGAAAGTAGCCAAGGTTGACAGAGTTATTCCTTCTCAATGCATATTTCATTTCATTGTAAGTTTGTGTACATTTGGGGCTGAAAGTTTGTGGAATTGAATTGTAGCAAGGGAGTAGATCCAGTTCATCCGCTTGTGGGAGCGCCGATGTATTGGAAGAACTAGGTGTTGCCATTGAGCTGGACCCTGAGGTTAGTGAAATTGCTTTTCTTGGCTGAAATGTACTGTAGACTTGAGGACATTTACCATCATATGGTACTTTTAAAAATCAAACGTTTAAAAATGAAGTTTATGCTGTTGTTTATGTAGTTAGCTGCTTTATAAGAAGAAAGACTGGTTGTGACATTCACCAAATCAATTATCAAACTAATTTAATGAGTCATCAAACGACCAAGGATGTAATGAGAAGTAATTTATTAAAGAAAAGCACCCTTAGAATAGGCGATGCACTAAATCCCGCACATTGTCCAATCCATTTGTACTTGATGATAACCCCTAAAACTACTGGTGTCCTTTTCTTGATACTAACTTGTCCACTGTAAGAACTTCCCAAGTCTTATGATGGCAATAGCAGGATGTGTTTCCTTCCATTTGTGCTTATTCTAGATCTAAGTTGTCTGCATCACGTGCTCATTTTATTTGCTCTTGGTAACTGCCACCAAGAGAAGACAACAAAGATATGTTATATGTTCTCTTTCTTTTGGGACAATGGTTAATGGTTTTAAGAGCAAGTTTCTATAATAAATGGTGTTAGAGTATTACTGAAAAATGCATGATACGTTAGGGATAACTGACATTATATATGATTTCAACTTGGTTGATCCTGATGTATCTCATTGTTACCGGCATCAGGGGGTGAAAGAGTGTGTAAATCAAGCTGGAATTGGTTTCATGATGTCTCCAATCTACCATCCGGCGATGAAGATTGTCAGACCTATCAGGAAAAAGCTGAAAGTAAAGACGGTGTTCAACATCTTGGGACCTATGTTGAACCCAGCAAGAGTGCCGTTTGCTGTAGTAGGAGTTTACAAAGAAGACCTGGTATATTTCGACTTTAATTACAGTAAAACCACCTGTTCTATGAATGTGGCTTTAAGAATCTTGTAAACATAACTTATGTGAACTGATGTGCTAATCTTTCTGGTGTCATCTCCATTTTGCCCTTTGGGTCATAGCTTCTTGACCCGTTTCAATTTTCTTCTTAGTATTTTTTACATTCATTTGGTGAATGAAGCAATCTCTTGTTATAGGTCCACAAAATGGCTAAAGCATTGCAAAGATTTGGCATGAAAAGAGCATTGGTTGTTCACTCAGAAGGCCTAGATGAGATGAGTCCCCTTGGTATGGTCCCCTTTCAGAATCTACTGTGTTTGGTAATTTCATGGCTTTTTGTAATTTTTGACTTTGCTTGTCTATTTTTATTTTTTTTAAATTGTGAGTAATTAGATTTGGACATTTCCATCATATTATGTGTGACAATTTATTTTGCAGGCCCTGGATTAGTCCTTGACGTCACACCAGATAATATTGAGAAGTTCTCCTTTGATCCATGTAAGTAACCTGTTAATATCAGGATCAGTTATAACTTTTCTTTTTCTTTTTTGGTGCAAGATTTCTTTATCTTATTGCTTTGTATATATAAACAATGAATGCCACTCTAAATATGCATTGAAGAACTCTACAGTCTGCAGTAACGAATGATGCATTATGATTGATGTCTTTTTCTCCAGCATTTAACATTGTCTCTTTAAAAAACTAGTCTGACACGATTATCCTTCAATAGTGGACTTTGGCATCCCTCGTTGCACTCTTGAAAGCCTTCGAGGTGGAGGTCCAGAGTACAACGCCGAGATACTCAGACGTGTGCTGTCAGGAGAAAAAGGGTCAATTGCTGATGCATTTGTAAGTTTCTTCATGAGCTTGTTACCAAATGTGCAAATCCTCATTAAAGAAATAGACATAGCTTCTTTCCGTTTTCAATAACTTTCTTTCACCTTGAAAGTTCTTACATTATCTCTATCAAATAAATCCACAGGCACTAAATGCATCAGCTGCTCTCCTGGTAAGTGGACGCGTTGATAATCTGGCTGAAGGAGTGGAATTAGCTCGTGAGACACTACTCTCTGGCAAAGCAGTGAAAACACTTGATCTATGGATAGAAGTTTCCAATGTAAGAAGAAATTCTCAGTAAGTTCAGGGTAGAAACTCGATCACTTAAACTCATGCTATGTCTTTGCTTACTTGCAGAAGGTGAAGGAAGCAGTCTGTGTGAACTGATGGAAGACGCCAAGCTGACCATGTTATATTCTCGGGGCTCAACAGCATTCCCTGCCGAGTAATCGTTAAAAGATTCAAAATCAAAGAAAGACTGGATAACACAACTCAACTTGCAATTTTGATTTGTGGAAGGATTAGAATAAGGGGTTGAAAAGAGAACAAAAAATAAATGTAATTTTGGCTTGTGAAATTTGTAAGGCAACTGTAGATTTCTGTGGAAAGCATTGTTTGTAATACTTACTTGTGACAATAACCAAGCAAAGCAATGACACGCATTTTTTTTTTAATCATTTCTAGAAGAATGATTATAAATGGCTTAGGGTCTTTTTATGTGAAGCTCTGTTGTAGTTCATGTATATTTTTTGTAAACTTTCTCGACTAACCAAAATGTAAAGACATGACACGTGAGTAGATAAGTTTAACTCAACCCTAAAAAGCTAGCTAGTTCATGAGAAGAGGATTGCTCATGGACGAGGTTGACAACAATGTAAAACCATACTCTCCAATTGGACTGACATGACAATCTAAAATGTCAAGCCCAATTATCTTTAAAATAAAGTTGGGTAAATTATTGAAATAAAGACTTTGTGTTCATCTGTTAGCTTTAAGGGTATACACAACCCAAAAAATTGACGATAAAGAATATTGACATACCATTTGTTATAATTTAGGGACATATTTGTCCTTTCTCTATTATTTTATATAACAATTATTTAGTAAATATTTTTTCTTTTTGGTAATTTATCTGACTTTTTAGATCACGATTCAAACTCCAAAGATGACATACTAAGTAGATAAATTTGAGTAAATATTAGACTTGAGTTTAACGTTATCTCGAAATATAATATTTTTAAGGCCACTATTTGCAGAATTTCTGAAATGTTAAATGGGGATTGTTACACCCGGCGTGTATATAATGTATCAGCGACTGAAGAACCTTTGGTTACTCACAGAAAAGACAAAAAACAGTTATTGCACAAACTCTTTTTTCCCGGGAAACATCGAGTGGATAACAAGAAAAAAAATATACACTTGAACTTCAGTAGCCCAAATAGAAATCAAGAAAACACATTTTCAAGATTCTTGTCTCCAAAATTCAATCTTTAACGGATAGAAATCATAAATTTCTGACAAAGCTCAAATCTTGGGAGTGTTGGTTTAATTTCTTGAGTGAGGAGTTATGACTTTCGGGTCTGAATGGAAGTTCTCTCAAGTCTTTGGTGAACAAAATCCCCATGAGGATGTTCAAGATTGTAACTTTCTTTCACTTTTCTTTATAGCTAAATCTTTACGTGAATGAATTTCAGTAATATACTGTTTGATTTGTATTTTTTTCCTTCTTTTGGGGGTAGGGTAAGGGGAAGGGGTAGGGGTAGGGGTGGGAGTATGTCAATCTATTTTACTGCTGCTTATGTATGGTTTCCTTCCTTTAGCTTTCAATTTTCGTATGGAATGTGTAACTTACCTCTCCAGTGTGGTTTGCGAGCTATTGCATTGGAGCGGGGTTTTACCTGTGCACTCCCAAAGGTAGTTGTTGTGGGTTTCCTTGTCATAAAAAAATGGATTAGAATTTAGATGCTGTAGAATTATACATGAAATCTTGAAGCCTAATAGGGTAAACTTGTCTGATGTAATACATGGATTATTTAGAAATTTGGGGTGCGGGTTCAATTCTGGCAGATGAAAATTTAGAGCGGATCCGAACTAGCTTGAGATTGAGGCTCAATAGTGGTAGTATTAGTAGTTGTAAATTGTGGAAGGAAGGATATTGCTTGAATTTGGAACATTTAATATTCAATTGAGATGAGAGACTGGTTGATGCTAGCAGAGACAATCCTTTAGCATTTTCCACCTGCTTTAATAGTATTACATATAAGGGAACCTTGTTGTAACTGGTAAAGTTGTTTCCCAGGCAGAGAATGTGAGAAGAAAACGAACTTTTGTATCCTTTGAATGAGAAGGGGATAGCGTGTGTATGAGGTTTATTAACAACAGAAAGTTGGGATGGGTTGCTGAAGACAATACTGTTTATATAAAGGAACATAATTCTTTTTTTGAGCATGTTGGACCACATACCCACACATTTTATTCTTCATCTAATAATAGATCTATCTTGAAATTCTCATATATACGGAGAAGATAATTGAGTTGCCTGTGAGCTTTTGGTACCTTTGCAGGTGACTGCTGATTTGTACTTCTATAACATTTTCGGCATTTCAGTTATCTAAAAATGAAAACAGCAAAGAGATGTTCAGTTCTTCTGTCCTTATTTTACCCTCTCACCTGAAACAAAAGAGAGGAATTATGAACCAAAGAAATACAAGGAACAAGAAGGAAATTGGTGTCACTTTTATTTCTGCCTTTACATTTCTCGATGACCTACACATTAAAAAAAAACATTTTATGTTAGGTGATATTTTATCTGCAATGGAGTTTGACAAGAATGGTGATTATCTGGCTGTTGGAGATCAAGCTGGACGTGTCATGATTTTTGAGCGGCAGGCTGGTAAAGAAGTGCGGACAAAATTTTCAGAAATATCATTTTTGTCATATCCAAATTTTGCATCACATGTAACCTGTTCACCTTTATGTTCTTTTAGGATCTCTTTGAGTGCAGTTCTCGGAGTGACTCTGGTCAGTTCAACCTTCCACAAAAGCAGCATCCTGAATTTGAATATAAGACGGAATTCCAGAGTCATGAATCTGAGGTATGATTAGATAATCATTTTATCTACCTTCGGGTATACATCTGTAAGGCTGCTTAAAATTCTGCATGTATAGCTGATCTTTATGAACTACGGATGCTGATCATGTTACATTTTCTTCAGTTTGATTATTTGAAGAGTGTGGAAATTGAAGAGAAGATTAATAAAATCAGATGGTGTACGAAACTCGACAGATCCTTATTTCTTCTTACAGCAAACGACAGGACGATAAAACTTTGGAAGGTATGAAATTCCTGTGGCATTCGTGAAACTTCAGACAATGTCAAATTGAAGAAACAGATGGTTGTCTTATAAGTTTCTGGAAGTTTGGATTAGGCCTTTTAGGGGATTAAGTTATCTATTTGTTATGATATGTGATTTAATACTACAATGTACCCTGAAAAATCAGTTGTTTGCCTTTACATAGTTCCTCTTTACATAACTATGTCTGCATAAATCATGTGATAAAAAGATAAGACTTGTGTTCTATGGAATAACCTCAGGTTTCTCTGGTTGTTCTCTTGCTGGCTAAGAGCTCCTTCAGAATGATACTAGACAAATACTGTTTACATGAGCTTTTTTATATTTCAGCTGCTACTACGTTTCCACATTTACTCAAGAAATAGAGCATGCGAAATGGACTATCCTTTATATGTAAGTGTGTGTCGTTCTATTCTGGGTGCCTTTTCCTGTATCATCAAAATATTGATAACTTGAAATGCATGTGGTACTATCATTTTTTATCTTCTAAAGTATTTCATATTAAGATACTTTTCTGACATACACCTAACACCAAAACTAAAAACAAGGGGAAAATGAAGGAGGATTTCTCTGTGATGAAATTCAAGTATTAGCTATTGCCTGTTCAAAGTCTGTCCAAGATGGAATTTGTCTATGCCTTAAGAAAAAAGTCTGGTTCCATGAGGTAGTGGTAAGGTCTGCATACACTCTATCCTCCCCAGACCCCACTTTGTGGGATTTCACTGGGTACGTTGTATAAAGAAAAAAGGCTGGATGGGTGTTCTTTCTGGATGAATTTAAATAGACTTTTCAGTTCCCGTTACTGTGTGTTTACTAAGTTGTGCATATCAATTTACTATTTTCTTCATTTGTTTCTTTTACAGATCAAGGAACAGAAAGTAAAGAAAGTTAAACAAATGGACATCAATTCATCTGTGACTTCAGAGAATTCTCTTTTAGCTGATAGAAGTTACATGAGTGGACAAAGTGAATCATCTCATGTTAATGGTTACAGTCTAGAATGGACTAACAAAATGAACGGCACATCATCATCACATGTATGACACAGAGAGTGTAAATTATTCTACTTGTTACCTGAAATATTCTTGCATTTTTATTAAATTCACTTCTCCCTAAACTCTATGCATTTGACATGCTGTCATAGCTTGTAATTCTTGCCTCTATTGTATGTAGCTTGCAGATATCACAAATGTGGATTATACAAGATCCCGAAGAGTGTATGCAAATGCTCATGATTTCAACATTAATTCCATCTCAAACAATAGGTATTCTTGTGTTCTTGCAAATATTATGAATTTCAAACTTGCTCACTTTGAAATGAAATTGACCAGCACCTCTGATTGAGCTTGATCGATCAGCTCAGACTATCCTTCTTTAACTATCAGTACCAGAAAGACTAACTGTATGGAAGTTGTTTACCATTTGAAGAAGTGTCAGGCATTAGATAATATTTGGGTTTTAATACTTTTACAGCGATGGTGAGACATTCCTCTCTGGGGATGACCTTAGGATAAACGTATGGAACCTTGAGGTTAGACATCAGTGTTTCAATATCATTGATATGAAGCCAAAAGATATGGAAGATCTTACAGGTAATTGTGGATCTCCTCTCGAAGCATTTCACATGCTTTAACCTGCTGGATCTTATCTCATGCATCGGTGCTACTCTCCGTTAACCCAATTTGAAGTTTCCAGTTTATATTCTCTGAAAGTATGGAGATGTAATTTATGAATATTACCTGCTAGATATAATGCCAGAGCACTTCAAGAACTTATAGAAGGCAAAATACGGTTTAAGGTAGTAGCTTTAGGTCTCATAGGTAACAACGTAAGGATATGTGTAGATTGTACATTTATGTATCTGAAATCTACATAAGCCTCGCGTATTGAGTATATACCATCTTAAGTTATCTACACTCTACTGTTAAAACTAATGCTAGGGATGACATTAGTGAGGTGACGGTTTTAGGTTTCTTTCTCAAAATGGTTTCTGGAGTAAGCAATCAAAGGTTGCTTTCGGTTTTATCATCAAATTCCAAAAATGCATGCAGAAAATCAAAGCAAGAATGACGTGACATCTAAGGGATCATTAGCAGTGATTTAGAAAGGGCATTAAAACGAGAAAGAACCCCCGCACCCTGAAAAAGCCTCTTTTTCTTCTTCTTTAAGTGCATTCATTTATCATTCTGACATCTTGTTCTCCTCTGATATAAGGAGAATGTCTCCTATCATATCCAAGCAAGAAAAATAGAATAGAAGAAAAGAAAGAAAGAAGCTCTTACGAACGTTTGAAAGGAATCAGAAACTGCCCTTACTCCCCCCCTGAAAAGGACTTGACCAGTAAATTTGAAATGATGATCTACTTTATGACATGGATCGAATGATGCCATTAGGTAATTTAGTTTCATCACCATATGCTTCTGTTCTGCATCAAAAGTTTGATCAGACTGCCACCTGATAAAGGATGAAAATGATCATCGCACCGTTGTCTATGTAGAGGTGATTACATCAGCAGAATTCCATCCATTTCACTGCAATTTGTTGGCTTATAGTAGTTCGCGGGGATTCATACGTCTTGTGGACATGAGGATGTCTGCACTATGTGATCACAATGTGAAAATGTGAGTTTTATACCCATTTCCATTTTATTTCTCTCATCTGTATGACTCAGTATGTCTTCTAATCTGCTTCTCTGACGAGGCTTACAGTACTTCTAACAAACCGCAACTTATGGTACTACTTTTTACAGACTGCAAGATGGGAGGAGCCATGGCTCTAAAACATTTTTCAGTGAGATCATTGCTTCTATATCTGACATGAAGTATGCAATGGATGGAAGGCATATTTTAAGTCGCGATTACATGACTCTGAAGGTCTTCTCAATTTCAATAATCCTTTTACTGTATATGTACACTGCACTTTAATTCATGAACTAAATTTCCTTTGCATTTATTGGTCTCTAATTACATTCGTCAAAGAAATGTTTTCCAAATATAAAATTTTCAATTTAATACTCAAGAACTAGACCGAGTGATTTACAGGATAGAGTTAGTATTAATATGTGCTTCTCACACATTTTCAAACCTCGATTAGGTGCATCCTGCACTTTTTATCCTGGGAATTCTGTGTGTCAACGTTTTCCTTGATTCATCTTTTGGGTCCTTAAAAGTGTATTCAGCTTGTGGACTTGCGCTTTCCTTTTTCTTGTTTTCCTCTTTGCCTTTTTAACTGCCACCTCGTTTTGATTCTTTCATCTCTCATTAGTGGGATCTTCATTGTTCTGTTAATCTTGGTGACATGACAAATAAGCTGTGACTTTGTGTGGTTCATATTTCCCATGCTCGTTGCCTTCTTATGTTTTACATTCACTGTCGTAAGATGGATCTGTAATTATGTATTATTTGTTTAATTTTTGTTAGCTATGGGACACTCACATGGAGTCTTCCCCAGTTGCAACATATAAGATTCATGAACACCTCCGCCCTAAGGTACGAGGGTCTCGCCACAATTTTTTCTCGGAGGTTTACAAAGATATAAACAGTTAGTGATATGGTGTAATGTGTGTACATGCTATATAATCAAAATAGATTGATAGCATTTTCTGATTTGTGACCTAATACATGTTGTGTGGCAGCTTCCTAAGTTGTACACAAATGATGCCATCTTCGATAAGTTCGATTGCTGCCTGAACGGAAACGAACTTCAATTCGCAACTGGATCTTACAGGTTTATCCTTCAATGAAAGTTTTAACCTATGCCTACATATGAATAGTTCTATCAGTTGTTGTGTAATTATGTACTTCCATTTTGTTGATATTCTGTACATATGATGAATTTTTATGGTAATCTTTTGTTGATTTAGCAATCATCTTCGTGTATTTTCGTTTGGAACTGGGAATGAAAATGGCATCACACTGGAAGTCAAAAAAGAATCAATTAGGTAACCCTTGTACTAAGATGATCTTCTATTGCCTTTATTCTGTTGTTGAATTATTGACACTTCATTAACCTTGATTTGTAGAAAACCAACCTCTCAAACTACTTCAAGGCCTCGAAGGTCATCATTGAGCAACTTGGCACGAGGATTTTATCGCCAAGGTAGTTAGTAATGATTGTGCATATGCTTGTGCAAGGCCCATAATTCATCAAATGGTGGAAAATCCACCCCACCACAATTTAGTTTTCATCTTTATCTACATTGCTTTTTGTTGGCGATTTCAGGACAAGATCTCAACTCAGAAAATGAGATATCCTGTAACCTGAAGTCCAAGTTGCTCCATATGGCTTGGCATCCAACGCACAATCTGATCGCTTGCTCCAGTGGAAGCAGCTTGTTCATGTACCATGCATAAAGTGCTATGAAGAGGACTCAGAGTCATAACCTTCCTGTAAAAAAATCATATTTTGTCCCTGTCAATATACCGTGTTTGTGAGGTTGGCTGGTCTAATCTCACCGTTAACAGTCTGCCATAGGAAGTTTTTAAAAAAAATTAGCGATTCCTTTTTAAAAAATGGAATTTATTTTACAAGATAGCATACACAGAAGTTTGATACTTGCAAGTTGCATAAATACATTTTGTGCACATCTGAAGAAGTAAAGGTGGCAAACATTTTTGGTTGATACTGTTACAGTGTTACTTTATTATTCATTTCCTACTTTTCCCTGAATGTGATGGGTGCCAGAGACTATGCCTACAACTAAATGCCACGATTATGGTGGGAGCTGAGTGTGTTCTTTTTTCCCCACACCCTCGAGGAGGATCAGTGATAGTGTTCCCACTTATTCTCCAGTGTGACTCAAACCATCAACCTATCAATTGATGATGAAGGTGCTCAATCACTTGAGCAAGCCTCGCTTATTGAGCTGAGAGGTTTGGTTTGGACCTCAATGTGTATATTAATAACCAAAACGTATGTACATGTAGGGTTGGAACAACAAATATAACCAACTCCTATAATCTAATGTGAATGGAAGAGAACAAGAAAGTATAGAACTGTAGTGCCCTATAGTACAATTAGGTAAATGAGCATAAAAAAGGTTCCAACTAGGCTTGATTCTGAAAGTGATCAATTGTTGTACATGTACCTATTCAATATTAAGCTTTAGCTTCTGTACTTCACGGATGATTTTTCATCCTATAGAATGTGTCCTACCTTTTTTTATTATCATAAAAGTAACGAAGACACTTGAATACGATGATCTCTACTTTCTATTATCTAATATTAGTATAATTATGATAAGTAGTTATATTTCTTTTTAAATCCACTTTAGTTTTACTACCGAACGATATAACATCAATCAAATCATGGTAAACTTATAGTCCAATGCATTTGGTCCATCTAATTTAAAAAATATGTACACAGTGTCTAAAATATGTATACTCTATACTAAATAGACTTATAATATTGATAAACTAAATGACTAAGATCACATTTACGTAGGTTTCCCTCTATGGATGGATTGTTGTGAGTTGTGACCAACGACACATTTTCCAACAGCATTGGCTTTTCATTTTTTAATGGATGCCAACAAATGATGTGATTTCACCCCACTTTTATACAAGGAAAAAAAAACTTGATTAAACCCCACTTCATTATTATTCAAAAAAATAAAATTGTTATTAATTTCTTGAACAAGCACTATTTTCCTGTAGGAAGCAAAACATGTCAGTAAATTTATAGTTAGTCTGAAGTTGAATGAATTTAAGTTTTGCTATCCTTGAATTTTAGAGATGATATAATATGATTCCACTATGGTGGTTTACCCTTCTCCACATGTCTCAACAGTACAAAAAAAAAGTTTCAAAAATTTCTTTCCACAAATAATGCATAGAGGCAAAGGTCAACTTATTCTTTTATTGGTAAACATCATGAGTGATATAAAAGAATAAGATTCAATACATCTCCCTTATATAACCATTTCATCCTTGCCTTATTCCTTAGTAATAAAATAATACCTCACTGAAAAGACTAGCAACCATGGAGGAAACTAACAAAGAATCAACTAAAGATGAAATCAAATACAGAGGAATCAGAGCAATGCCCTTTGTCATAGGTATACATTTTAATTTTTTGTGTCTACTAAACTTATTGTATACTTTTCGATGTATGTTAAACTGTTTAGTATGACGATGATATGAAATGAAACTGTGGATTCATATAGCTGACTCCAACTTATCGTTGTATGTTAAACTGCAGGGAATGAGACATTTGAGAAGCTAGGAACAATTGGAAGCTCATCAAATCTCTTGGTTTATTTGACAAGTATATTTCATTTGAAGACCATAACAGCTACTAATATTGTCAATATCTTCAATGGTACTTGCAACTTTGGAACCTTGCTTGGAGCTTTTCTTTCTGATACGTACTTTGGCCGTTACAACATCCTTGGATTTGCCTCAGTGTGTTCCTTCTTGGTACAAGAAATATTCATGTTGAAATAAATATTGAGATAAAGAGTTGTTTGGTACGACAGAAGTCATTTTTTATGTCCTGAGAAAATATTTTTCAGATCGGAAAGTTTTTTGAGTAGTAAAGATTAATAATGATGTTTAAGTTAAGTTATGGTTGAAGCAAGTCATATGAAGTGAAAATCTTTCTTGATATAATCTCCTTAATCATTCAACATGAAAAAAAAAAGACAAAAATTATCTAGGAAATGACTTCTGTCGTATCAAACACATACTAATTTAATCATTATTTAAAAGTCCTTGTAATAACCAGAATTATCGTTGTTTTCCAATTTGATAATTTACAGGGGATGTTAGTTCTGACTTTAACCGCAGCAGTCTCAAAGTTTCATCCACCTGAATGTGGAAATCAAGAAACTGCACCAATATGTGTTGGTCCAACAACAGGACAAATGACATTTTTACTAGGAGGTTTTGGATTGCTAGTAATTGGTGCTTCTGGCATAAGGCCTTGTAGTTTAGCATTTGGAGCTGATCAATTTGATCCCAATACTGAATCTGGAAGAAGAGGAGTTATGAGTTTCTTCAACTGGTACTATTTCACTCGCACGTTTGCTGTGATGGTCTCATTGACTATCATTGTGTATGTTCAAACAAATATCAGCTGGTCCCTGGGATTAGCCATCCCAACAATTACTATGTTCCTTTCTTGTGCACTTTTCTTTGTGGGCACTAAAATATATGTCAGGTTTGTGCCAAAAGGCAGCCCTTTGTCAAGTGTGGCACAGGTCTTAGTGGCTGCATTCAAGAAAAGGCACCTACAGCTGCCAGAGCAACCATGCTTCTCCCTGTTCAACTATGTGCCTTCCAATTCCTTGAATTCTATACTTCCTTACACTAATCAGTTTAGGTAATTCTTCTTGCCACCATAATAATTATGGATAGTCTTATATTTAATCTTGTAAAGATATATCACATGAGCCTAACTCGAACTCTAAAAGTTAGCTCATAAAAGACAGGATTGTCCTTGCCTATATAAGCAATGTGGGACTCTAACCCACTCTAACACTCTTTCACGCGAGTGTGGACCGGAAGCCCAAACAGTGAAATATGGCACCCGGTCTAACTCAACTCCAAAAGTTAGCTCATGAGAGTAGGATTGCCCAAGTCTATATAAGCAGATTACCAATCCATTAGCTAAACCCACTCTAACAGTCGCTAAGTCAAGATTAATTATTGACTAACTAAAACAGCTCATGATTTCAGATTCTTGAGTAAAGCAGCAGTGAAAACCCCAGAAGACCATATAAACTCATCAGATGGATCTGCAGTCGATCCATGGAGGCTTTGCAGCATTCAGCAAGTGGAAGAAGTGAAATGCTTACTAAGAGTAATGCCAATATGGGTTGCTGGAACTATCTATTATGTCTCTGTTGTACAGTCACAAAATTATGTTATCTTCCAAGCCTTACAAAGTGACAATCAACTAGGCCACATCAATTTCCACATCCCACCAGCATCTTTCATAGTCATTTCTATGCTCAGCATAACAATTTGGCTACCTATATATGATCGCGTTTTACTTCCATGGCTTCGGAAATTCACTGGAAAAGAAGATGGAATCACCCTTCTCCAGAAAATGGGAATTGGGATATTTCTATCTATCGTAACAATGATCATATCAGGGATTGTTGAAGACAAGAGAAGGACCCTGGCAATGACTAAGCCAATGCTGCAAATGACTCAGGGGAAAGGTGCAATTTCATCCATGTCAGGACTATGGCTAATACCTCAGATGGCATTATCAGGTAACCATTTGCAAATCAATGTTTGTTTTACAATTTTTTGCTCATCATTTCAACTTTCAACTTGAAACAGAGAATTCGAAGTTCAAGAACAAGTTACAGGAGTAATATTAAATAGTAGTAACATTTTCCATTCACAATTTTTTTTGTTGCGGGTGTCTGTCCAATGTTGCATGTGTCCATGCATCATACACCAGTGGACAGTCGGGTCGTAGTTCATAGTTAGAGGTGAAATTCTCAGATATATAAAAGACAAAGCATTTGCCAAGGATGTTTTTCATTAATCAAGAATGAAAGTTAACTTCTTTTTTCAAGTGAAATTCATGTTGAGACACAATTCTAACCTTCAAATACTCATGACTGAATACAGGTCTTTCGGAGGCATTTACATTGATCAGCGAGAACGAGTTCTTCTATAAACAATGCCCTGAAAACATGAGGAGCATCGCGGCGTCTTTCTTCTTTGTTGGAATGGCAGGGTCAAGTTATTTGAGCAGTTTCTTGACATCAGTTGTTCATAAGACATCAAATTGGTTGGCTGAGGACCTTAACAAGGGGAAATTAGACTCTTTTTATTACCTCATTGCAGCACTAGAGATTCTGAATTTGGGTTATTTTCTTGTGTGTGCAAAATGGTACAAGTACAAAGGAAGGGCAGGTGACAACAAAGTGAGTGAAAGAACAGACCAAGATGAAATTGTAATCTAATTTTCAATCAGCAGAAACAGTATGGTAGTTTTTCATGATTAGTAATGCTTTGTTGGAACCAAATATAGAAAGTAAAACAAGAAGAATGAAAATTATGTGTCACTCACCCTTCATGAGTTAATGCAGAAATCAATTGTGTCGCCATATCAATCGAGTATTTATGATCAACTAAGTTTTATAAACTTCCTTTTTTATATATGTTCTTTCAATGTTACATAGCAAAATCGACCCCAACAAAGGTACTAAGTCGGGTCCACATCATCACTCTATCATCTCCATACTTGTCTCGTCGAATAATTGATTTTTATATTAATTATTGGATAAAATAACTCAAAATGCTCTTACCACAATGTGATGCTATTTGCCTTTTTAGACAAAATTCACACAGTTTTTCTCAAAATGTCTCACAACATTAAAAATATTCAACATCAAATAAATAATATTTGTGCCCCCCTACTTTTTATGTGGGACTTTGTACACATACACTCAAAACTTTTCTCCAAAACACGATTCTTTCCTTCAAAGTTCAAACTTAGGGCCCGTTTGACTATGCGATAATGAAATCATATTATGAAATCATGAGATGAACTTAAAGTTTTGTTTGGACATGCAATTTGAACTTTTTATGTTGTATGTTTCTTATAAACATAAAAAAACCCTTACAAGTTGTAAAACTATTAAAAATATCTCAATTCTTTATACGATATTACTAAATAAGCAAAAGTTTATAAAAATATACTATCACAACTTTATTCTAAAAA